GTTCTTCTCTCTTCTCTCTCTCTCTCTCTCTCTCTCTCTCTCTCTCTTGCTCAACAAGAAGTTAACAGGCTCAATGCAGGAATCTCTGAGGCTTTCTGATCGTGTTACACAGGAGATCAGACTAGATCTTTATTAGGGTTACCATATTTCAACAATCAAAGAAGACGGGGGAGCCCCCGCCCTAGCCCCACCCCCATCCACTCCCTCCCACTTCCCACCCCCTGACTGCCCCCCTCAGAATCCCCAACCCCCCCGCTCCTTGTCCCCTGACTGTCCCCTCCTGAGACCCCCCCACCCTAACTGTCCCCACCATGTTCTCTGTCCAGACAGCGGAGGGGCAGAGGATTGGTCCCACACCACACAAGATGTGGCAGGATCCAGTTTTAAATTTACCCCCTGCCCTTGCTTCGGGGAGGGAGAGTTGCTCTTGACTTGTGTGGGGTACCAGGGAGTCGAAGCCCCGACCCCGCCTGAAGTCACTGGTGCAACCCCTCCCACTCCAGCTGGGGAGCTGCACCTGGCCCTAGGGGCTGCAGGGTCCGCCACTCCCGGAATCTCCCTCCCCCCTGCCGTGGCTGCGGGAGGCTCCCTTGTCCCGCTCGCAGCCTTGGCGGGCGCGATGCGGCAACCGGAGGGGAGGAGAGGAAACCCCCCCCGTTCCCTCCCCCCCCCCCCCGCCAGGCAGCCTCCTTTGTGAGGGCTGGGCCGTGACGCGCTGCCCTGCCCGAGCTGCAGCCGCGCCGGAGATCGTCCGAGGGCTGCAGGCAGTGCTGGAGCTGCCGGAGGATGAGTCGGAGCCAGCCCCGCACCAGCGAGCTGAGCAGGGAGTTGTCCTGGGAGAAGTTTCCCTGCAGGCTCCGCTCCGGCCAGCAGAAAGCTGGGAGCCCGAGGGCGCCCGTGCTAGCAGCGCCGCAGGGAGGGAGGTTACGGGCTTGGCTGCCGCACGGAGGGAGGTTACGGACTTGGCTGCCCAGGGAAACTTCTCCCAGGACAATTCCCCGCTCAGCCCGCTGGTGCAGGGCCGGCTATGACTCATCCTCCGACAGCCCCGTCGGCTCCAGCGCTGCCGGCAGCCCTCGGACGCTCCCCGGCGCGGCTGCAGCTCTGGCAGGGCAGAGCGTCAGGGCCTTGGCACTCGCCACCCGGGGCTGGGGCCGGGGGGCCCTGGATGGGGCTGGGCTCAAGGAGCGCCCAGCTGTGAACGTGGCGCCGAGCTCCACAGAACCCCTAGCGGCTCCTCGGTAAAGAACCTCTCCGAGCCCTGCAGTCCCTGGGACGGGCGCTCAGAGACTTGCTCCGCAGGGTTACCACACGTCCATATGCCGGCCGGCCGGGAGGGATTTTGAAATATCGAAAAACCTGGACGTTTTTTAGATATTTAAACATTCCTCCCGGACGGCCATTTAACAACCAAAAAGCCAGACATGTCTGGGGAAATCCGGACTTTTGGTAACCCTATCTTTAAGGTCCCTTCTAGTCTTAAAAATCTGTGGCTGAGATCCTGTGCCCATTGAAGCCAATGGGAGTTTTGTCATTGACTTCAATGAGGGCAGGATTTTGCACTATGAGTTTTTGTTGCTTGTAAGAAATGCCAAGTCGAATGTGGGATGGATTCTGGGCCCACACCTCAAAGCCTGTGTTTTGTTCGAACACAGGGAGTGAGCCAGACTCCACAGGGGGCTGTCAGTGATCTCGCAGGAATCCTGCCCAAGGGTTATCATTGGAGGGGGAGGGAGGTTGTCCCTTAGCTGTCTCTTAGCAGAGCAGACACACCTCATGAGCACTGTGGAACCAGCGGGACCCTACTTCAGTTGGGTTTGTAAGAATTTGGGGAGAAATCAGTGTCCAGTATTGCAGTAGTGATGGTAGCAACAGCATCTCCCTGGCTCTGTTCATCCGGAGGTGAGCCATGGATTCCAGCAGCGCCGAGAAGGTCAGGACCCAACTGCACTAGGTGCTGTACAAACACAGAATGAGGCACTTTTTAGATACTTTGCCCACAACACTTGCTGGAATCACTTAAGCTATCATTGAATTGCAGCCACCTCTAGGGTAGAATTTGGTCACTTGCTTAGTTGTACTACTGCCCAACAATTTAGGGGCAGGAAGTGAAGAAGAAATTATCTAACTGAAACTCCATGAGGAATTTAAGGAGACAGTGTGATTACAGAAGTTAGCGATCCCTGTTAACCCTCTTCCTCCTATCGAAAGAGCTGTGGGGCTAACACATGGTGGGAAGATTGGTTTTATAGCTCACTTGAAGAATGTAGCCATTCCGTAGCACAGCACCCTTAACACTCCCTGATACTAGGACAGTCCCGGCTCAGGGTGGGTCTACACTGTAATCCAAGGTGTGAGCGCAACACTGGTAGACATAACTGTGCTCGCACAGCTAAGTACAGCCATGTAGATATGGTGGCACAGGCTGTCTAAGCAGACTGGGGACCCTACGTACGGACTCACATTGCTAGTCTCTGCTGAAGCCTGTGCCATCGTGGTCACGCTGATGTTTTTAGCCATGTGTTTTAGTGTTGTGTATGTTTACGGTACGGCAATAGCACCTCCGATGCAGTGTAGACGCACCCTCTGAGGGAAGTTGGCCTGCTATTGGATCACCAACATCCCCTGGAGTTTCTTTGGAGATCTCCTGTCCGAGTGCTGAGCAGACCCAGTCTGGCTTCATTTGAGAGCTGACGAAATTGCAGGCAGTAAATTGTACATTTAATCCTCCTCTGTTGTTAAACTCTGGGAGGTCTCCAGTGATGCAGAGACAACTTCCAGGAAATGGGCTCCACCAGGGAGCATTCTACTCCTGTTTGGATTCACAGAGATTAGGGCCAAAAGGGGCCATTCGATCATCCAGGCTGACCCCTGCCTAGCACAGGCCAGAGACCCTCGCCCCGTCACCCCATGTTGAGCCCAGTAACTTGTGTGTGGCTAAAGCATTTTCCAGTCTGAAGCGGCAGACTTCAAGAGCCGGAGACTCTCCCCCTTACTTCAGTAGTTTGATCCAATGGCTAATCCCCTCGCTGATAGAAATGTGTATCTGATACTTCCGTCCCCCTTTGCACTACTGAAGAGCACTCTCACCTCTGTGCCCTAAGCTTGCACACGTGTGTGCACATCCGGGCCCAGGATTGCCTGACTTGACATAGATCCATACATGCATGGAGCAAGCCCCTCCCGCCCCAGTATCAGAGCATTGGCTAACCTACCTGCCTCCTTCCCGCAGATGAAAATCTGGACCTGGATGATGGCCGGTGGGAGGATGTCCACGTCATCACGGGGGCTTTGAAGCTCTTCTTTCGGGAGCTGCCAGAGCCGCTCTTCCCATTCAGCTACTTTGACAAATTCATCACTGCGATAAGTAAGGGACAAGAGAAGCCACGGCCTTGTCTGACACCTGCAGTGTGGGTGGCGGCCAGTCCTCTACCCAGCAGGGCCGTGCTCATTTGGATTTCCTGAACCCCTTCACTCCGCAATTCAGCCCCAAAGCCTGGCCCCATCTCCCCAGCCAAGACACAAGAGCAGACTCTGCAGGGATCTCTCCTATTATCATTAAGGGTACAGTTATGCTGTGACTGGGAGGTGTGATATCCAGTATGGGTAGATAGACACGCACTAGCTCTCTGCGAGCTAGCACCTAAAAATAGCATCGTGGACACAGAGACATGAGTGGCAGCTCGGGCTAGCACTCCCAATGGCTCCATGTCTAGTTGGCAGCCGGTATCAAGCGGAGTGCCCCAAGGGTCAGTCCTGGGGCCGGTTTTGTTCAATATCTTCATTAATGATCTGGAAGATGGTGTGGAGTTTGCAGATGACACTAAACTGGGAGGAGTGGTAGATACGCTGGAGGGTAGGGATAGGATACAGAGGGACCTAGACAAATTAGAGGATTGGGCCAAAAGAAATCTGATGAGGTTCAACAAGGACAAGTGCAGAGTCCTGCATTTAGGATGGAAGAATCCCATTCACTGTTACAGACTAGGGACCAAATGGCTAGGCAGCAGTTCTGCAGAAAAGGATCAAGGGGTTACAGTGGACAAGAAGCTGGATATGAGTCAACAGTGTGCCCTTGTTGCCAAGAAGGCCAACGGCATTTGGGGCTGTATAAGTGGGGCATTGCCAGCAGATCAAGGGATATGATCATTCCCCTCTATTCAGCATTGGTGAGGCCTCATCTGGAGTACTGTGTCCAGTTTTGGGCCCCACACTGCAAGAAGGAGGTGGAAAAATTGGAAAGAGTCCAGCAGAGGGCAACAAAAATGATTAGGGGGCTGGAGCACATGATTTATGAGGAGAGGCTGAGAGAACTGGGATTATTTAGACTTCAGAAGAGAAGAATGAGGCGGGATTTGATAGCTGCTTTCAACTACCTGAAAGGGGGTTCCAAAGAGGACGGATCTAGACTGTTCTCAGTGGTACCAGATGACAGAACAAGGAGCAATGATCTCAAGTTGCAGTGGGGGAGGTTTAGGTTGGATATTAGGAAAAACTTTTTCACAAGGAGGGTGGTGAAGCACTGGAATGGGTTACCTAGGGAGGTGGTGGAATCTCCTTCCTTAGAGGTTTTTAAGGTCAGGCTTGACAAAGCCCTGGCTGGGATGATTTAGTTGGGGATTGGTCCTGCTTTGAGCAGGGAGCTGGACTAGATACCTCCTGAGGTCCCTTCCAACCCTGATATTCTATGATCCCCCTCGGGTACATACATGGGCAGTTAGCCCAAGCCATCGCCCGTGCAAGCCCCGGTGAACCGGCTCTTTTTAATGCATGTGCGTGTACCTGAGCTGGGCTGGGAATTACACCTGCCCCGTGTGGACGCATGCTAAGACATCATGGGTTTTGACTAAGAATGCTGGTGCCCACTCAGCATAGACCGCCGTTCTGGACACTTGTTTGGAGTCTGGTGCCATTCTGAAAATGGCTCCGTATTATGGAGCCATCCAACCAGCTCTGCTTTCACAGCTGAGCTGTGATTTGTTGAGAGGATGCATGAGAAACGCATGGAAGGTTAAAGCCCTCTGCAGTCTCTGTTTGTTTGAGGTACAAGGCCAGAGAGGTAGGCCTGGCTGATTAGGAGGTGGGCCAACAGACCCAGCCTGTGTTCTGTGCCTGGTGCCAGAGCAGTGGGCTGAGAATCCAGGCAAGGTGTGAATTGCTGTTCATGGGAGTAGCTTGGTACAGTCACAGCCTTTCATTGGCTGCATGGCAAACCCAGAGCCACACCAGAGAGAAATTATTTCTGGCCCACAGGCTGTCCTGAACCAGGGTGTAGCGCCAGCCAACTTGGTTCCCTGGGGGGAAGATGTGATTTCTGTATCTAGCTACTTGTCAGACGGTCCCACCCCCTGTAATATCTAAGCACAGCAAGGGCATGAGTGGATTTATCCTTGGAACTCTGAGAGGTGGTGGTGTCCCTGTGTTAGTGCTGGGCAAATCACGTAGGGGCAGATCCTCACCCGGTGGGAATCGCTATAGCTCCGGCGATGTCAATAGAGCTGTGACAACTTGCACCAGCCCCGCATCTCTCCTCGACGTCACATGGCCAGTCAGTAGCAGAGCCAGGCGAGAGCCCAGATCTCCTGAGTCCCAGTCCAGGGTCTCCCACCCACGCGCTCTGACGCCCAGTCCTGACGAGGTAGAATGACCTGGTTTTCCATCTGGTTGTAGAAATATATGACCAGGCGAAGCGCAGCAAGTGCATCCGGGACCTGGTGTGTTCCCTACCTGAGGCCAACCGCGACACCATGAAGGTTCTCTTCCAGCACCTCTGCCGGTGAGTTCTTGCCCTGATACCCAGGCCTCTCCTTGTGCATGGAGCTTTGTGCTTTGATCTGCACAGTCCCCAGCCATTCATGTAATTCTCCTCTATGTCTGAACATGGCCATCAGGGAGGCCAGAGATCACTGCTCCTGCCTGAGCACTAATCCTGCAGGTCTGTGCCGTCTCCTTTCCCTTGACTCTCATCAGCAGTGTTATGAGGCGCTTGTCCCAGCCCGTGCCACCCTGTACCATGGTGCTGGACTGGAGTAGGGGAGAGAAGGCAGCAGGGTGCTGACGGCCGCAGGGGCCTGGTGCTACCCTGGGCAGGTATATAGGGGCAGATCTTCCAGGGTACGGTGCAGTCGGAGGAAGCCAAATCTAGTGGCAAGACCTTGGAAGGGGAGAAGGAAATTAAGCTACTGCTGGTTTCCTGTGTACCCACGTGCCTTTCCCTGCTAGTCTCCTCAGGGGGGGGGGGGGATTTTCACCCCTGGTCTTAGCCTTGGCTCCTGGAAGACCCTTCACAACTCCCCTGGCCATGCCCCTTACAAGGTTCTTCCTCAGCTCGATTGTTGTGCTTGGAGTATCCTATGGGACTCTGCAGACCCCACCCTGCTGGGTTTTAACAGCGCCTCCCGCTGCAGGATGCTCAGCCAGAGTTGGGTGGAAAGCAGGGGGAGGGGGGATTTTACTTAAAGCAAAAACAAAAAAACAATTGTTGTAGCAAAATGTTCTGTGGAAAAAGTCGATATTTTTCTTTCAGTGAAAATTTGAATGGCAAAAAAATTATGTCCAAAACCCAAAATATTTTGTGCCTCATTGAGTTATAATTTGGGTGTCTTATGTTCCCGTTCTCTTCTGTAGGTAGGGGTCTACTTAAATCATGGAGCAATCACACATTTTTCGCAGGCTTGTCATGGCATAAATAGCAAATTTTGCGGATGTGATACACGTCTGCAAAATTTGCTATTTATGCCGTGACCAACTCAAAAACTGTGATTTTTCTCTGCAGCATTTCTCAAACTGGGGGTCCTAACCCAAAAGGGGGGTGCAAGCCCATTTCGGGGTGTTGTGATATTGCCACCCTTACTTCTGTGCTGCTGCTGACGGCGATGCTGCCTTCAGAGATGGGAGCCCAGCCAGCAGCTGATGCTCTCTGGCCACCCAGCTCTTAAGGCAGCACAGAAGTAAGGGTGACAATAACCCACCATGCCACCCTTACTTCTGCCTGCTGCTGGCAGTGGCACTGCCTATAGTATAGGGTAAAAAAGCACACAAAAGACCAGATTTCACAGTCGGTGATGCGATTTTCATGGCCGCAAATTTGGTAGACCCCTATCTATAGGCCAAGCTCCCTGGTTGGACTACATCTCCCACAATGCATCATGGTCTGCCCTCTTGAACGGGAGAGGCAGTACATCATGGGAGTTGTAGTCTGGTTGAGGAGCCCAGCCACTGGAGGAGAATGGGGTCTTGAGGCAACCAAATTACAACTCCCATAGACATCGCAGCAGAATTTTTGAATTGAAATATTTCGGTTTTCGGGCATTCACTTTTCTGTGGAAAGCAGACATGTCATGTGAAAAAATTCATTTAGTCAAAAACCCAACTTCCTGTCAGAAAACAGTTTAGATGGAAAACTTTGGATGAGCCCTGGGATCACTGGGTTCCTTGCTTTGCTTGTTGAGCCCTGATCCCCTGGCACTGCCATGCTGTGCTGGATTCATGCTGGGCGTGGTTCTGGTCTCAGCCCATTCCTGTCAGGTGCAGCATTCGTCAGAGTGAGACACGCCCCTGGCAGTTTCCGGTGACTGACTGTCCTTCTCCCTCCAGCGTGATCAACTACAAGGAGCAGAACCGGATGTCTGTGCAAAGCGTGGCGATTGTGTTTGGGCCCACTCTCCTGAGACCAGAGACCGAGGAAGTAAACATGGCAATGCACATGGTCTTCCAAAACCAGATAGTGGAACACATCTTAAATCAGTACAGCTACATCTTCCCAGACAGCTAAGCCTGGTGGCGAGCCAGAGCCTACAGTGAAAGCAAGGAGCAGAGTTCCTGGGATGGACCGTGGCGGCTGCTAGTGTGTGACACTGAATTGTCCCAGCCTGGACTACAGACAATAGTGGCGACAATCCGTAATAAATTGGCAATGCTGATGCTGGACTGCAACTACCTGGGATGACTTGTGCCATTAGCCACTGGAGCCATGTGACCAGTGCGCCTCCTTTAGATATGGGAAAACAGTCAGAGAAAACAGGCACCAGATCGGTCATTCTGCAAAACACTCCTGCTCGCCGGGGTTGGTACCAGGCTGTTCCCCGGAAGAATGGCCCCAGGAGAGCACAGGGCCTCTGAGCTTTCGGCTGCCCAGCTGCTGAGAGGGGAGGGTCCTCCATGGGGCTGTGCACTTTCACTTCGCTACAAGTGAAAGCAGCCCAGGCAGGTACTGGAGAAGGGGCTGGACAACCTACCAGCTAGTGAAGTGGGGACAGCATCAGCTGTCCGCCCCATGCCTGCACCTGGAACTGCCAGCAAGAGCTGCTCCAGAGCCCTTCTCCCACACAGCTCATACCACCCCCTGGACCTTGGTGCGGCAGCATCCACCTCTGTGTGCCCGTCTGCCCCTCAGCCAAAGCAGCCCCTGGGACCCCCGACAGAACAGCATGTTATGCACACCGCGCTGCAGCGCCTCCCGCTGGGCTCCAGCCAGCTCGCCTCCCTGCGGGCCTGAGCACCTGCAGCCATTGGGGGATGAACCCTTAATGCCCCCAAGGTTGTTATAGCGCTGAGAAGCTGAGACACAGGTTTTCAAAAGAGCTCAGCTTCCAGGGAGAGCAAGAGCAGTCGTCCCACCCTCCCACCCCCTGGCCCCATGGGAGTGGCTGAGCACTCCCCTAAGTGCCTTGCTCTAGGCCCCCCCTCGGCAGTGAGCAGCAGCGTAGACCATTGAGCCCAGGTCTCTGCAGTCCCACTCCAGGGCCGTGTCACCCCCAGCCTATGCTGTGTTACTGAGATGGGAGTGGGCTCTGGTGCTAAGACAGCTTGGAGCCCGCGCATGCCAAGGAGGGAGCTGAAATCAACCAACCAACCCCCCTTGAAAACTCCCCTTTTGTAATTAAAAGGAGACCTCCCCCTCCCCTCGCAGCTCACTCTCCCGCAGGGAAACCGCTCCAGTTCTGCAGGCTCCTGCCCATGCCTGGGTGAGGAGCTTAGTTCAAAGTCCTCTGGGCGTCTAGCTGTTGGTGGCTGCAGAGGCCCTGGGCTGTGCATTTAAATGGCTCACTGGCTGTTTTAGTGCATTGCCTGAACCTGCCCCTGGAATTGGCAGCGACACCTCCACACAGGGCTACCAACATTTCAAAACATCGGACAGGGCAAACCAGTGCATGAGGCAGGGGCTTGGGACCTCTGAGCCCCACCTGGGCCGGGTTCTGCACTGCCATGGCGTGGGCAAGAATATCCATGAGCCTGGCCTAGGTATCTGGCTCCTCCTGCCTCCCTTTCTCTGCCTCCATTGCCCAGAGCATGTCCCCCATGGAGCAGGGCTCCCCCGAACTGCTGCGTCAGAACAAGGCCTGGACTGGTCTCCCACTCCCCCTGCCCTCTCAGACCCTCTTCTCTCTCTCCCCACCTTTGTCACCCTAACATCTGCCCCCCTCCCAAGCCCCCCTTCAGCACCCATCCCCCATGGGCACAGCTGCCTTCCTCCCCACAAGCTTGCCCCATTGCCACTGGAGAATCATGGGAGTATGCAAGAGTCACGTCCATTCACAGGCAAGTCCTCAAGTCACAAGTCCCGTCAATGCCGTGTCTAATGGTTGCGCCCTGTTCTACTAGGCCCTACACAAACACAGTGCAGGCAGAGCTAGTGGGGAAATGGCCGTTATTTTCTGTGAAACAAGTTCACAATGTGATGGATTTTTTTTGTCAAAAATTTGTTTCCTTTGGAATCAAAACATAATTTGTTTGCTTGGGGGCTTTTTTGAACTCCTGCCCTCCCCCAAGAAACAGAAAGAAGGGGAGGGGGAAACCCAACAAACACTGACAAGGTGGTGTTTTGGTTTGAATTAAACTGAATGAAAGATATTTTTTTTTATTTGAACTGAAGAGTTTTCATTGGCCAGCGTCAGAGGATATCAGTTTTTTGGGTGTAAATGCGTGGATTGTTCACTTTTCACTGAGAAAACATTGTCACAATAATCTTCCACCCCGCTGCAATTCTCTGAGCCTGGCCCTGCCCAAAGCGGTCACAGTGTGACCAGGAAGAGAAACAAAGGGGATTTGCCCAAGGTCATTGGCAGGGTTAGGAAGAGAAGCCAGGTCTCTGGAGTAGCAGCCTGCATGGAAGGTGGAGAGGAGCCCAGGGTGCAGGAGGCCCCCCGAGAGTCAGGCTGCATGCACATGGCTGGAATGCCTGCTGCAGTTGCAGCAACTAGTTCTCTTAAGAAAGAGCCAGTTTGATTTTAGAAACCGGGAGTCCTCTCCTGTTCTTACCTGGCATGAGGGACATGAACCAGGGTCTAGTAAAATGGCATTGAGGTGAGTGTCAGTAGCCATGGGTGCTATGCCCAGCCACTAGCAAAGTCATTTGTCCACTCTCTGCCCAAGGTCAGACTAGATGAGGATATTTGATCCCTTGGGGCTGGACAATGCCTGACTCTCCCTGCAGGAATTGCCCCCTGGCTCAAGGGCAAAGGCCTTTCTTTGACAGTGGATCTGCTGGTTCTCTTCCAAATGTCTGGTTTTGCATATGAATGAAATCTGGATCGCCCATTAGTTTGTCTGGCTGTTCCTGTGTTTAGCGTGGTTCCTGGTTTTACTGATTAGCCAGCCGGGGTTGAAACCCAGCCAAGTACACGGTGTGACATGGAGGAGAGCTTCTAGTTTCTTTGGAAAGCAGGAAGAGAGCATGAGAATACCAGTCAAGGGCAGGGTGACACCCAAGACCCAGTCAAGCAATATGGCATTGCCAAATCACAGCATGCCCCCAACCATGCCTCCCCACACCAACGAAGGAGTTTCTGCGATGCACATGGATGGGCCCACAGCCCTCTGTTTCTTTAGATGGAGCCACGGCAGGGCTGTCTGCGTGGAGGGCTGTGTAGTCAGTGCATAAGGTGTTGTACTGGGATTTGGGTGACTTGAGTTCCACCCCAGCTTTGCCATTGGCCTACTGGCTCACCTTGGGCAAATCACGTCACTGCTTTGGGCCTCAGTTTCTCCATCTATAAAATTGGGCTAATAATAAAGGGCAAGATTTTTAAAGGCATTTAAGCACCCACATACCTTTAAAAACCTGGCCCAAAGCGCTTTGAAAGCTGCAGCCCAGCAGAAGGGAGAGAGTGCAGTGCTCTCAGGCTCCCAAATCCAGCGCCCCAGATTAGAGCGAGTCTTGCAGCAGCTGGTCAAAAAGCAAAGGGGAAAAAAATCATGGAGAAAAGGTAAAATCCGTTTAGTTTCAGTTTTGGCATTTGACATGTTTTGTGAAATTTTCAATACAAATTGCCAATAAAAAAATGTTTCATTGACTGTTGACCAGTTTTGAAATAAGGAAGCGTTTGGTCGGTTCAGCCCCGGGGGGGGGGGCTTTCCCTCCCCTCGGCCTCACCACCCAAAACAAAGGGAAACATCAGTGTTTTAAAAAAATTCGTTTTGGAAATTTTTTCCTTTCAAAACCAGAAAACGAGCGAATGAAAATTGTTGATTACAAAAGTGAAAATGTTCATGAAAAACATCCCTGTAGAACAAAGAGGCTGGTGATGGGAACACTTTTGCCAGCTGCACCCAACGAAAGCCACGAGGTGGGTGTTTTAAAAATACAATTTGCCAAGGGGAAGTAATACTTTCCAAAACTGTGTCTGAGCGGGTGGAGGGGCAGCGCACATCACATGATCTGCCAGTATTAGCAACCCAAGCGGGAAATCTGTACAGAACACTTTGCAAAAGCTGCCTCTCTTCATCCTATGTTATTAGCATGAGCACATCTAACCCACTCTTCCTCAGCGTGGTGCTCTGTGAGCATTTGCCCAGTCAGAGCACAGCCCATGCACTGATATATCAGCCACTTTAAGCAAGCACGTGGCCTGGGCTGCATCCTTAACATCAGTGTTATAAATGCTAACTAGCTGAATTCAAGCATGGCTCTGAAACACCTGGATACAGCGAGGCCGGCTCGCTGACTGCCCCCAGGCGTAAGGGCTGGTGCAAGGGGAGAATGGGGCTGAGGGACGGGATCTGCCAGTGAATGCTGATCCAAATTACCTAGGGTCGTTCATGGATTTAAAGGCCAGAACAGCTCACTGTGATGGTCTAGTCTGACCCCCTGCACAGCACGGGCTGGAGAGCCTCTCCCAGGGTGTGCTGCAGCAAGCCCAGATGTTCAGGTTGTGCTAGAGAGCATTTTACATCAGCCTCCTCTGAGGGCTCTGGAAATCCAAGGGGAGGGGGTAGGAGGAGCGGTGAGACAGGGCGTCCCTGGCCCTGGGGTTCTACCACACCCTACTCCAGAGAAGGCTCCGCTAAAAGGCCTTGCAGGGCCTTAGGAGGTCAGGTCCTAGCGGGGCCCAGTGAGACCATGCGCCTCCCCTCTCTACTCTCTCTGGCTGCAGGAGCTCGAGGGATAACCAGAGCCAGGCTCCGGCTGTATTTGCTGGGGCTGGGGGAGAGGCTGAGAACCTTAGCCCTGAGCTAAGGGATGATGAGAAAGGGGCCAGGTGGGCAGAGGCCCAGGATTGCAGTGAGTGCTTGGCTGCTGTGGGCAAGGTCCCTGGGCTGGAGCCCGGAGCAGTGGCAGGCCCGGGTCCCTGCACTGGCCACTGGTGAAGGAGGCAAGGTTCTTAACCCTTTACAGGTAAAGCAAGCAGAGAACAGACCAAGAGGGATTTTACAGCTAACTGGCTGGCTGGGTGTCCATCAAAGGGAGCTACTCACCCCCCCTTTATTTATCACAGTTGCCATGGTAACAAGGCAGCTTGGTGAGGCCCTGGTAGCGCTACCAAGCTTTGAGCCTCGCGCAGCACCACGTCCGCGCCACGGCTCGCTGCTGGAGAGTGATCCGGGATGCTGGAATCAGCTCACCACGGGGCCGTGACGTTGTGAATATTGCTCAGTTACAGCAGAGGGAAAAGGCAAGCTGTAGCGAGTGGCTGTGGGAATTATGGGTTAGGCTGCGCCTCACATGTCCAGGCTGAAGTGACCAGCCACCCCGGTGCCAGGTGCTGCCGTGCTGAACCCTGGCTGGGCTGTGCTGGGAGGATGGCTGGGTGCACAGCATCACACCGTGCCAGCTGTTGGCAGAAATGCAGTGACAGCCCAAGGCTACTTAGCTTTGCTAGCGTTGCCCTACAATCAGTATGCGCTGTTCCTTCCCCCCATTGTGCACATGAACTGCCTGAGCACTGATTGTCCACTGCCCTGGAGCATGTGTGTCATTCGCAGGTGTGCAAAGTCAGACCCACGGTATCTAAAGCACAGCTGGCCTGACCCAGGACCGGTCACGTGAGCACAACACATGTTAATAGCGACCAGAGAGTCATTACATTCAACATCCCGGGGAGCAGGAAGGTACCAAAAACCAGCAGGGTGACACCAGTGTGGAAATGGAGTGTGCAGGTTGTGGAGGGAGAGGGGGGAGCTTGTACAAATGTTGGCAACAGCTACAAAACAAAAAAAACCTAAATAAAGGAATTAAACTGCTTAGCTTAAAAACAATGGGCAATAGCAGTAGCCATCTTTACTAGGGGCAGCGTCACTCGCACGCGATATGCTCAGGTGTGCTGGCGGGTGGCTAACTCAGGAGCTCGGCAGGCTGGCGTGAAGCAAGCTCTCTTCCGCCCGCTGCCCTGAGTGCAGAGGAAGGGGTGTTGGGCTTGGAGCACGGCCAGGCAAATTTCAGCTTGTCCATGAAGTGCTGCGTGGCCTGGATTACAGAGCAACATCTCATGTCCCTCACTGAGATACAGGCAAGTACAGTATCAACCCAGCCTTGTTTTATAAACACTAAACCAGAGCAGTTGGGTAGCATCTCTGCAGGCACAGCTGGGCCCAGAACCCTGCCCGCTAATGAAGAGAGCTAATACCCGCAGCCACTCAGTCACAGAAAGGGCCACCTCCACGTACATGTGTATGTAATGTGTAGCCACTGTTCTAACCACTAGACACTAGTCCCCCCACTGAGCAGAAAAGTGGCGCCTACTCACCCAGTGGCGCTTCAGGTCTTCGGCGGCACTTTTACTCACCCAGCGACACTCTGAGTCCGCTCCGGGTCTTCGGCGGCACTTCGGTGGCGGGTCCTTCAGCCACTCCAGGTTAGTCGGGGTTTTTCTTTTGCTTTTTTCTTCGCGGCAGGTGGTGCCTGTTTTTATTTGTTCGCTCCCCCTGCTGCTAAAACCTGGCTTCGCCATTGGGTGGGGCAGGAGCGGAGTCGGGGTGGGGGCGGGGGGCAAAGCACCCATCGGTGCCAGGAAAAGTTGGCGCCTATGAGTACCTCCTTCTGAGGTTAATTGATATCAGCTATTCTATTATCTTGCCCAGGATTGAAGTCAGGCTGACAGGCCTATAATTACCCAGGTCATCCTGTTTACCTTTTTAAAAATTGGGACACCATTAGCTGTCTTCCAGTCTTCTGGAACTTCTCTGGTGCTCCAAGACTTATTGAAAATAAACATTGACAGTCCAGCGATCTCCTCAGCCAGCTCTTTTAAAACTCTTGGATGTAAGGTATCTGGACCTGCTGACTTAAAAATGTCTGATTTTATACACCTCTACCTCAATATAACACTGTCCTCGGGAGCCAAAAAATCTTACTGCATTATAGGTGAAACCGCTGTGACAAAGTTCCTCCTCTATCTTGGTGGGTGCTGCACTTATTGGCGGATTTTCTTGCCTCAGAGATTCACCATGTGGGTTGGAGAACAGCCCAGAGACCTTCCCCTCTGGAAGAACCCACAGTCCAGGTCAATTGGGAGGTTTGGGGGGAACCCGGGCCCGCCCTCTACTCTGGGTTCCAGCCCAGGGCCCTGTGGACTGCAGCTGTCTATAGTGCCTCCTGTAACAGCTGCATGACAGCTACAACTCCCTGGGCTACTTCCCCATGGCCTCCTCCAAACACCTTCCTTATTCTCACAACAGGACC